CTCGTGAGAGGACGAGTACGGATACCATGGCATATTACCGTGCCGACCCTCCTATTATACGTCTTTGCTGCGTGCGTACCATTTTATCCTCACTAGAATTCACCTTTGAACTTATCGACCGATATAGGGCCCATGTACTTACCACGATCAAGCACGGCTCGGTAGGGTTCATACAGATAGCTAGCCAAGGACGGGTCGACGGCGCTATCAAGTACTTTGCGACAACTGTAAATGCAACAAACATGTACGTGTATCAGAGACTGTTCACTCTTTTATACTGACGAATAAGAGTGTATAAAACCCTACAAAATATCAACAAGGATGGATGATCAGCATGAACTTTTATCCCCTCGCCCTGGGGCCTTGGGCCTTGGAGAGTAAATTACCCACCAAAGAAGAAGGTCTCGAATAGGATGGACGCGAAGCAGGCTGTATCCAGCCTAAGGGAAGGCATGGAGGCCGTTCGACACGCTTGTTCTGAGGCGTCGGCGCTGTGAACTGGGGACTAGTTGGATGTTTTCTGTCGCGATTTCGAGAGAGCGGAGAGCAAGCTCGGGGAGGTGAGAGCAGATGGCCCCGCCAACAATAATGATGGCAAGTGCAACGGGGTCCAGGCTGTCCCTTCGATCCACCCCTCTCGAATGACCGTTGACCGCGTCGTACCGCAATTTCACGGTGGACCCACACATCCCGGCCATTGAGGAACGAACGCGGACGTGCCTGTAACTGAAGCTCGGGAACGGGGCACTCAATTTTGTCGCTGTGGGGTTGCAAAACAGGCATCATATTCGAAGACACGAAAATTAGCATCGATAATTCTGTGGACGACGCCGCGCAGTTTACTTGATACCCGGTGCATCGGCAATGGCGTCGAGCAGTTTGGCGTGATAAGCGGGCTATAGCGCCTCAAGGGTCATCGAAGCTGACGCAAAGTTTATCTCGGTTTTGCTCTTACCTTACTTGGTTGGTTTCGAGCTTACTCTCCCTAGTGCCGTCCACGCCCTGCAGTCGATCAACCTATCCTCTTCCTGTCCTCGGCCTAGCTTGCGTTTCGTGTCCTACAATCGTGTCCAAAATGCTGGAATTTTGGTACTAGATCGGTTCCAGAGAGTGCTGCTCGCCTATTGGCCATGGATCATCCTCTGGGACGCCTCAGTTGATTTAGACGACAGGGACAGACACTTGGCCTCTGGGCCAACCACAGTACGTCTGCGATAAACGCTCTCGTTATGATGTCTCCCCTGAATCCAATATTTTAGTATATTACCCGATGCGGCATCTATACCAGCAGGATATTTTGCCTATCCCATAGGTCTCTTGCGTCCGCTCCACCTACGATCGCAATTATATGGGCACCTGTCCCTACAACGTCCGTTTCATTATTCCCAATGATCCAATGATTCGTCTGAATGGGCTCAATGTAACCCGTTTTTGCGCCGAAAAGCAACCGGGCCTCTTTCACTGATCCGGATCAATCTGCTCTCAAGGTTCCTCGTCTCATCGAATAAGGGTGCGCTGATGATGATGTGGGGAACCCCCTCTCTCCATCCTGCCCTTGGGTGATGAAATCTGACAACGTACCATCCTTCTTATTTCCTATGGGTTCTTATTTGTTGATCTTCTCACAATCTGTTATTATCAGAAATTTTTCTTAACTGTCCCCCCTAGGCGAATGGCCAGGCACCCGACGGAAACCAAAAACCAGTCGCTCGTCACCGGCTTCTCCCCTCCTCTCCTCATGGTAAACAGCTGGCGGGAACCAGCTCTGAGAGCACACAGCATATCATAGAATAAACAGCAACTCCTTTAATCGCTAATAGTCTATGGCGCCACTGTAGACTGTTATGTCGCGGCGTGCCACACATCCATATTGCGATTCAATAGATTCAATAGCTCAAAAAAACATGCTCACCGTGCGGGGTGAAAGAGTGGATGAAGACGATGATCTCGTGCGGCATACACGGCAAACTCAGTCACCGGCAAAGAAATTTTTTTATTCAAATTATACTCTTGCATTATTTTTTTCCACAGAGCCGTCTATTGGTAACCCCCACGACTTGTGGGTCGTGCCCAAAAAAATTCTAGATTTCAAGGAGGATATCAATAAAATGAGGTCAACCACGTGAACCCGTGTTCTCTCCCTCCCTTTTCTGCCAAAAGGTTAATCCTTTCAGGAAATACACGACTCCTTCTCTGGGCGCGTAGAAGTCATCTTGTTCGAATACAAGGATGTGTCTTACGAGTGAATAAACTTATTGGAAGCCCCCCTCCACGATCACTCAACCCAGCGAAAAACTAAAAGGCTCCAATCAAGTGCACGATCTCTCCCGATCGATGTGAACCCAACTCCAAGGTCCTGGATTCCTTCTTCCTCGCGGAGCCAAAAAGAAACGCACGAAGCGTAGCAAGCAGGGAAAAGTTTATTATGGAACTATTAACCTATAATACTAGGGGCTTCATAACCCTTGCCTTCCGGCCTTCTAAATGACCATAGACCTTCTATTCTTACTCGGACCGCTCGCGTAGAAAGGGGAGGGAGGTAGGTTATTACAGAACGCGCGGGGCAGAAGCCAATTTGTTGTGTACCACGGGACTCGCTCTCACTTTGTCCTCTGCCATCATCGCATCCCATTGTCCGCGGCACGCTGCCTGTTTTTGTGCATGTTACCCTTGTCATAACCCTCGTCATTCTCTTTTCTCAGGTCCCACGAATCCTCTTTTCTCTTCCCTCGGCTACTGGAGTACCTCACCATTGCAAACTGCTTGCTTGACTAGAATAGGTCCAGTCTCATGTGCGGTCGTCCCAGTCCGAGAAATTGATTTATTCCCGGGTCATCCCATTTGGTAGTTTGGGAACAAGAACATATTTGCGTGAATCATTTCTCTGTTTCTTTACGCCTGTGTTGTGTGTGTCTGTGTGACCTCAGCTGACGACAGAAAGAAGTTGTCCAAATTATGAGTTCTTCCCCTTGGTGCGCTATTCGTGAATTCTCCAACAAACAAGAAATGACAGGTAGGTCCTCTTCTCGACCTAGAATCATGATGGTATCTCCTCCGGTATGAAGGGAAGAAAAAGTGAGGTACGACCACAGCTCAGCACAACTTTTTGTCTCGCCTCCTAGGGTGACAGCTAACTGTTCATTCGACGTTAGAGATGATATGAATTTTTGTAAATTGAAATGTCGATTATTACTGGCATGCACGAGTTTCTAGTATAATAAGACGGATTTGCGCTACAGGAGAAGAGGACGATCGACAAGACAGAAAAACCCCAATAGTGTACAATGTATTGAGAGCATGTAGAATGGGAATAGATATGCGATGAACACGAGGGAGTATGTAACCAATGCAAGACGATAGAATCGGAGCAGACAGCAATAGCAACAGAGACCAAAAGGAAAAAGAGGAAAAAATGCTAATCTGAAAGGAGGAGTTAATGCAATAGCGTCCTGGTTGTCGCATCACGACATGATTTTAATAGAAGAGAGAGCTCATTTCCACCCGTTCCTCGGACAGGCTCGACTTGTCTCTGTCGCATGACCGGGCACATGGAGGGCATACCCACGTTAGACCCAGGAATGGGTTGTGCACCTGCCTTGCGGGACATGGAGACTACGTAGAGGCAGGCGATCCGAATATGTGCGTCCCGAAACTCCTTGAGAGCCATTACGGCTTCGTTGTAGGGGTTCATGAGTTTTTCGGGGTAACGACTTGCGAGGGAGCGAATGGAACGACGGCCAGCTTGGTCGTGCGTGTATCGTGTCAGTTGCTCGAGGAAAGCCTGGTGACTTCCAGGCATGTATTTTCTCATTCTGGTCATGAATTCGCCGTTAGGAAGTCGTGGCGATGAAGAGGAGGGGCAGGTCGTAGGAGTATTGGATACTGGGGATGAAGATGCTGATGAAGATGATGTTGATGATGTTGATTGTGCGCCGGATTGGGAAGGTGGGGAGAGTTTTGAGAGTGGACAGACCGAAGGGGCAGGTACCGCAGCTCCGGATGTGGGGGGAAAAGCTGATGAAGAAGACGATAGGCTTTGGTGGGTCATTGTAGAGTCATTTGAATGGTCGACGTCCAGGAAGATGTCAAGGGTATGAATAATGGAGCTTTGACCGGCTGAAGGGCCACTAAGTTCGAGTACTTGAGACTCGTCGACGCCTTGATAGATCCAGCAGCGTTGAGATGAGGCTGCGGGGCCAGCGGCATCGCTCCCACGGAACCAGGGTCGAACCGAGAAGTAGAACGCATGGGGATCGCAGATTTGGCGCACGGACTGGAGAATTGCGGTGAGGTCGCGTATGACTCCAGCCACCGTCTTTAGGCATGCAGCGGCGTGGTCCAGCGTAGTGTCGTCGATGACAAAGGTGTGATCGTAGTTGAGAGAGCTCGCTTGTGAGGAGATTTTCTCTTCATGAATCAGGTTCTTGTCACCTGCCAAAGTCGGACGAGTGATGACAGAAGACGTCCGGGAAGCAGCGGCAGCAGGAGGAAGTGTCGTGGTGGACGTCGTGGAAATGATGTCGTAAAAGTTGGCAATCGCGCGCAAGGCCTCGACGCCCCGAAGTTCGATCTCGGCACAGCATCCATAAAAGTTGGCCTCGTCATCTGAGCCGGTGAAGAGGGTCAGTGGACGAATGTTGGAGCGGGTCAAGGGCAGGCTGGGGTCAATGATTTCGTGGTTCCAGAGGACCGTATCGGCAAAAGTGAGGACAGGAGCGATGGAGAGAAGTTTGGAGACTCGAACAAGAGGGACGGCTAGGGACTCGGGGATGAGAATAGAATTGGAAGAGGGGCATGAATGGACATAAAAGTGGACCAAGAAGGCCAATACGTGATGTGCACGTCGTAACAGATCCGAATCTTGCTCGAGAGGAGTTGTATCCAGTACGGGGGCCTATAATAAGTATGTTAGAGGGCGTGTTCCAACGTTTCGGAGTCAGTTGTGAGAAAACGTCGAAAAAAATCGGAGAAAAAGGGGGGAACGAAGTCAAGTCAGGTGGAGGGGGAGAAGGAGAGAGAAGGTTGGCGTCGGGGGTGGATTTACATGTTGATAATTTAATCAAAGAGTGATGTGATGATGATAAGTTGACAGAAGCGGGGTAAGGGGGAGGGGGAGGGGGAGGGAGGGGAACGTACGTTTGCAATGTCCTCTCGCCATAGGCGACTCGAGAGACGCTTTGCAGATGCATGCGGAGAATCATCCTCCGCGAGTGAGACGGCGTGCGTTGCATTGGCCAATGCCTGCTCCCACCGGGCAAACGCAGGGGGCAGCGAAGTCACGGGGGGTGAGCACGGGACGAAACCAGTAACACTGTCAATCTCGTAACTCGTCGACCATAACGCTTTTGATTCGGGTATTCCCCTTGCTGCTTTTGGACATTTCATTCTCGTCATCGTTTCTGGCGTCGTTGTTGCAGCAGATGCATTCGTCGATTTTTCTGTAATCTTTTCTGGCGACCAAAACTTTTGGCCATCCTCGCTCCCGTACAGGAACGGCGAGAAAGGCCTGTTGGCTGGTGGCTTTGCATTGGCCAATAGGCTCGCCAAGGGCTGCGACCATTGGCCACTCGCGAACAATGCCCAACTCGAGCCTAGCACGGATTGCAAAGTTTGAAGTACAGGGTCGGTGAACGACGACATTCGCGGGAGGGGTTGGGATGGTGTTGGACTTGAGGAGGGGGAAGTTGTTGGACTTGGTGTAAAAGAGAGAGAGGGTAGGAGGGGGAAAGGGAGGAACTTGGACGAAACGGAGGAGTGGGGACGAGTTGGATGCAGACAACTGTGCTTTTATATAAAAAAAAAAAGCAACCAAAGAGGTGAGGAGAAGGGGACCTCTACACAAGTGGGGTGACTATACCAATTGAGGAGCCCGCGTTTAAGCGTCTCAGTGACACAATTATCAATCGAATGGAAGAATACAAAAATCCTAGGGGATCGCTTATTACATGACGGGAGTAAAAATTGTTTTTAGTTTTTATTAAGTGTGTTACGAAAGAGAATAAAATAAAATAAAAAGCATGCTCGTGTCGATTGACTTGTGACATTACCATGTGTAAACCATATACACGCCACGCGAACAATCCAGAGCACCAGCAGACCAAAAAGAAAACTCAACGCAGACCCCCTCTCCTTCACGGCAGCGCTTCGTCGTCCCTCCCCCTCGCAGTCTCACCTCCAACGGGTCTGTATACACCTTCCGGATTGTCTACTGCCCTCCCGTTTTCCAGACAAGCCTATCTCCTTCTAATCGAGTCTTCCGCCGCGCAATCTCCTCAACGCGTTCCCTCAACCCTTGCTTCCCGCGATACTCATACTCCAGCTCTTCCATCAGTTCTTTCATACTTCGGCTCTTCATCTTTAATATTTTCTCAATCTCTTCCTCTTTTGGTAATCCGTAGCTCTTTTGAGCCTTCCCCGCATGGCCATGGAAATTTGCTAGTACGAAGCCTTCAGGAAGCGGTGCGTCCGAGTTCAATAGTGATTGAACGTCTGCCTCCTTCACCTCATTGAGGGTCGCAGGCTTCCAGAGCGCTGGCCGTTTGTCGACCAGTTTAGCAGTGACACCCTCAACAAAGTCAGCTGTTTGCCTAGTCTATTACCCGGCCAGGCCAGGTGGCGTCCGTCCGAATCGAAGAGACGGATCGTGTTCGTGGCGGTGGTGGTATGGTGTGTTGGTGGGGTTGTTTCGATCACCCGTGTTCAAAAAAAATTTCGAAGTAGGGGAGCATGAAAAAAATTGAATTCAGCAATCCTGGAATTCTCCGTACACGAGGGGGAACAATAGACGACATTGACTTTGGCAATAGACGGGGGGAGGGGGAGGGGGACAAGGATTGCAATAAAAAAAATAGTTGAACTACTCACGCAATACGCTTCCGCCAGTCGCATCTCGGTCTCAAAGGCATCCTTGAGCATCTTTTCCCGAGCCTGGAAGATGGCTTCCCTCGTCACCCAAACAC